ATTAGAAAAATATGTTATTTTAATAATATTTTAACTAAATTTATCTTTGTCAAAATCAAAAATTTCGACCCGTGAGTGATAGTATATGCAATATCCAATCCAATTAAAAAAAATTTTTTTTTACCAGTTCTATTTTAGTGATAATGATAGTAGCCGTAGCAAGAGTAATTGATATTGTTATTTCTTTTCTTTAGTCAATTAATAATAATGGTTGCAGTTTTCTTTGTAGTGATAATAATAATAGTAACTTAAATTTTTTTCCATCTGAATAAAAATTATTTAATTTATTCGTTATGAATTTGGCATTCATTCATATTACATTGAAGGTTTATTCGAATAAACGAATAAAACGAATAAAACGAATGATTCGAATAAAATGAATGATTCGAACAAACGGATCGAATAATATGAATAAGGTTGAGTTGAATTAAGAATAAAATGAATGATAAATAACGAATAATTTGAATTGATATTAAAATTGAATTGAGTTGTATTACGAATAATTTGAATTAGTATTAAAGTTGAGTTGAATACAATCACTATTACTATTACAGATAATATTAAAATTTGTGTTGTATTAAAATAGAGTTGTATTACGGATAATTCAAATAATAATAATGATAAGAATTTCTATCACTAATCAAAACTCTAGTCACAAGTCTCACCCAAAAGAAAAAGTAAAGATTGATATTTTGGTATTTGTATTCTATATTAATATGTATTTTAGTTAGATGAACAACAATAAAAAATTTGTAACACCAGTTGATGGTTAACCAGTGAAATTAACGGGTTAACTACGATTACACGATTAACGGTGTCAACCTCTGTTTGTGCATATACGGATATCAGCGGATCATCGGATATTTGCTATTATAATTATTCGGTTGTTTAGATTTTAATTTAATTAGACCGATTATTCGGTTACAAAGATTTTAATTTGATTCGACCGATTATCCGGGTGTTAATATTAATATTAATTTTATTAATTTGACCGTTTACCAAAATATTTGATTAATCGGCGGTGGGTAAGACCACCAAGGGCCATGCAACAAATCTGGCATAATTAAAATATATAATTATAAAACACTAATCTACATGTATGAGAAAGAAACTTCAATACACATTTTTTACCGACCTAGTTATATTAATTTGACTTAAAAACTTTACAAGAGTGTGGACAAGATTCTGCTCAACGAGTATATGCGTTTTATTTTATTTGCTTTCTTGCCATATGTTTATGTTTAATTTTTTTAAACTAAATTAAAAAATAATTAAATAATTTTTTAAATTAATCATGGATGTGATGTAAATTGTATTTTTAAAGCTTAATAAAAATAATAAAAATAATAAAAATAATTTAAATTTACAAAATATATAAAAAAAATTTTTTTAAATGTAGCTAACACTTAATTTAAATTTCACTAGTATAATTATTACTCCTTGATTTCAACAACCAGATTACTAATCATGCTATTACTCCTGGAAGGGTTGAACAGACCGTTAAGCTTATCCACAAACTTGGTCATAACAAAAATAGTGAATGCCGTACTAAAAAGCTCAGCGTAAATATGAGTTGGCAAATCTATGACCGCGAGTCCTATTAATCGGTAAACGCAGATTGCTATGAGTTGGAATATATCGATAGTGAATAAAACAGCCTGGTGAAAAAGAACTCGGAAAGTTTGATCATCCTCTCTGACTTCTAATACCCTATTATATAATTTCCAATAAAATATAGACTCGGAAACAATGTAATAAATGCGGAAGAAGGGTACCAGTGTCTCTCGTATGTAGTAACCACTACTTAGGAATGAACATAGTGAGTCACAATATAACCCCTGGCATTTGACGCCGTCTATTATGAAAAATACTGACATAATAACCAGTTCCAAGACGCGTAATGTAATGATGGTGCGGTGGATAAATACAAATATGGGTGTTTTAAACGGTCTAAAGACAGCAGCGCATCGTACATACGCAAGATGTAGCAAGCACGGCTTGCAAATCAGATATAAAAGTTGTATAATAGCGTACGTCCAGTAATACAAATATACGGACGTATAATTAGGACACCTCGAAAAACTTACTGTTTTCTCACAATCAAGAGTTGAAGGGGTTGCGATACTTGAACATATTAAACTTGCTCTAATTTGAAAAAGTGAGACTACTTCGCACATAAGTATTGCGATATTTACGGGATAAAGAAGCCAATAATATTGTCTGCCAATGATTTTTCGTACTACCACTCGAGAGAATGAATCTGCAGTTAGTGCAAAGCTCACAGCAAGAAGCCATGTTGAGATCATAAGTTCAAGACTAGAAATGTAAGTGTTGTCTCCCATTAAATTAATAATATGGTTAAAATGTATTGTAATGATCGTTGCGTTTATAATTAGTCGGGATTGAATTTTTCAATGTGGGAAAATTTAGGGAGCTATAAAATTATCCTGTTCTTAAATAGCAATAACAAGTGACCATCATTGTGTAACTACAATAATTTATATGCAATACCAAACAAACATCACATAATATTGTACGATTATTTAAAATCTTGTGTAAACTTAACTTTAACGCGCATGAAATTCAAATTAGCCAATCAAACTTTGCAAAAGACATTCTATTATCCATTAACGAACAAGATTTGATTTCGACAATCAATAATAAATAAAACAATTACTATTACTGCATAATTTTGTTTTCTGCATCAATGCTGTCACCCGAATTCTCAAAATAGTTTCGGGAAAAGATCTACCTGAAAGTCCATAATTCGACTTTAACCGCAGTCGGATTAAAGTAATTCTATTATATTAATCATGTAAAAATTAATTTATCGATATACAAATTAAAATATCAAGTATATCCCATATATATAAAATATGCAAAATATACAGCTAATCCCCGAAAGGGACCCTAACAGTCGTAAAACTGGTTTGATACCTGCTGGTTTAGTATCCAAAAGTAACAGTAGGCCTGAAGTTGTAATTTATCAAACCAAATCGTTAAACAAGCCTCATCATCTTTCATAGTGGAATGGGTTTATCTGCTTCAGAAATTTAGAAACTTTTAAATAAGAGCATAACTTGTCCTTGATAACTTTTTATTGGTTTCTTATTCAAATTTCCCAAAAATGTAACTCATTGCATAGTGACACCTGGATAGATAACGTTACAGTTATCTTACATTCTTCCAGTTACACCATGTTTCTCTTTTCATTACAATTTAAGTGAACTAACACCCAATATAAAATTTATATTGAGTTTAGGTTTCAGATAAGCTCAGGTTTCGATAAGTTTTAGAATTTTCTCTAAACTGGTTTGAGAGATTCGATTTTGGGGTTTACTTGAACCTGGAGTTCCAGGTCACAGCTATATATGAAGTCTAAATTAAACAATTTTGATTTTTGGGATGGTCGAAGTGGTAGGACCATTAGACAAAAAATATGCAAAATCGAATATTTTTGGATAGTCGGAATAATTTTGGATAAGGTAAATAATTTTATATATATATTTATTTAAAAGTTGGAATTCAAAACTCATCAACATCAAAATCACTATCACCGTAATCATAATTAGATTCCAATTCTCCAATGAATACTCTTTAATGATCTGTAAAAAGGTAATTCTCAATAATTTATCAGTCATTTCTTATCTTTAATCTCGTCCTCATCTTCTTCTTCTTCTTCACCAATTAAATTTCTAAATCGACTCAATGTTTGATGAGAACAACATCGTCAATGCAAACATCATAGTTGGAGAATAAATAACGTAGTACATGCAATTTAGCAGCAAAAAATTTCATTACAATTAAATCATAGTAATAGATTATCAATCAATAGTTAAGAAATGATAACCATTAATTATAATATCATATAATATTTCTTTTTCAAGTAAAAAAAAATGTAATGTGTGCTACAAGTTTATCAAATTAAAATTTGACCTAATTTGTGTATATTACGCTATCAATACTACCGTTACTGTCCCAATATTATCAACATCAATAATGAAATGAGCATCAACAACCAATAGTATAGTAATTTATAATCAGGACTATTAAAAAAGTTAATTAATTCACATGCATATTTGATTGTCATATTTGCATTTTCTTTTGGTAATAACTGAACCGCCGCTGTTGCTACTTATTTTACCTTGATTACTCATTCGGATATCATAAAACTATCAGAAGCATCAAGTTTTCCTTCTTATCATTCTTCTGATTTATGATTTATTCAAATATTAAAAAGTTAAATTTCCATATTATATTGACATCTCCTTCTACTTCCACTACAACTACCAGTATTACAACCCATTGTTTAACTGCCTCATCAAATACTAAAACCATACAGAACATTGCTTAATAAAAGGCAGTTTTAAACTGATCAGTTTTGGAAGTTCAAGTAACTTCTCCAAGCTGGTTGCACAAAGGTGTTGAGAAGTATAAGTCAGCCTCAGTGGCAACAGAAGGTATTAGTATGTACATGATCTAATTTCAGCAATAAATTAGAAAATAAGCAGTACGTCGGATCACAATTAACTCTCAACCTATTTCGCAAAAGACAACTTCGATGACAAAATTTTTCTATATGTTCAAAAAGTCAACTGAAACAAAATGAATCGACAAATAAAACTTGAATAACTAAATTGGAATTAAATCAAAATAAGCCAAACATTTTTGATTACTAATGCTATGTTTAATGGCAAGTTTGTTCGTGAGAAAATTTTAAGAGCATATATATTTCTTCTGAAATTATAAGTTAACTGAAACAAACAAATAGATTTCAAATTGGTGCCAAATTCCGAGTAACACAAAACCACAAATTTGAACCCAGAGACATATTTTTTTTACTGCCTTTTTAAATATTGTGACATTTCAGCATTACTAATGCTACTTTAAAAACCTTTGACAAGTAATGGTCAAAACCAAGGGAGCTCGACTCATCGCAACATACACTTGTCCCTCAGCAAATATATTCTCATCGGTAGAGTTAACCTTTGTGTCCTGTGAACGGTTAAGAGAAAAGTATTTTAGGGGGAAATTATTTCTTTGATGCTCTCTCACCATTAATTTCAAAACAACAAGGACGAAGGCAAGGAAGAAGATGCCGATTTTTTTCTCTTCCTTTTTTTTTTGAGTTCGTCGTCACTTTCTTTATTGTTGGTGCTTTTGCTATAATTATTGTTTTTATTGTCTTCCTTTTTGCCCAAAATATTCCACTCCACGTCCCTTTGAAGTGAGATAGAGTTTGTTTCTGATGACAGAAAGATTGAGACATTGATATTGTTCGACAAAAATTTGTTATTGTTATTTGATACGTTACGAATATCTCCGTCTCTATATCGTTAATAATTATTTGGAAATCTGAAAAATTCCCAACCTCGGGGGTTCCTACCTTGAGAATTTTTTGCGAACCTTTTAAAAACCATTTAATTATTATTACGTGCATATTTTATATTGTTCTTGTACACATATCAATCTACAAAATAAACCAATGTGACTTTCACGTTATAATCGTTAAAAACTGAACCTTCCTGAATGATGTTGGGCTTTAATTTATAAAGAGCACTTCTACCTACCCCACGTTTTTGATGAAAGAGACAGTTTTAATAAAACATGTGGACAAAAGAATGGGAAGACATGATTTTGCAGTTTTTTTTTTTTTTGATACTCTTCACGCCTTTATTTTATATTTATATATTTTCTTAATTAACGTATAATAAATTTTTAGCTAATGGTTTTTTTATGTTAATAAAGTATCAACAAAGTAGATCTTCAGGCAAAAATGCGGCTCGATTTTAAATGGATTAAGGGTTAAGGATTAAATTAAGGATGTTGAATTGAAAACAAAAGTAATTGTTTTGTTGTAGAAAATGTGCTTGTAGATCAAATATGTAAAGGTTCACTTTATTTTTCAAAATAAAAATTTTCCTGTCACTATTTTTTTTTAACTATACATTATTATTTGAGAAAAATTTTTAATTATTGCATGCAGACTGCAATCAAAATTTTTTTTTAATTTCTCTGAAGGTAAAATCAGTTGGTTTTTCATTTTCGCTGAAGGCAAAAAAATTAATTTTTTTTTTCTTTGTTTAAAAATTAACAATTCATTATTAGTACTAAGGCAGAATATTTTTTTTCGTTACGCAAGTGGGAAATTTAATAATTCTTTTATAAGTTAAAAAAATTAATGATTCTTTATTTAATTAAATGTGAAACATAATAAAATACTCGACAAACTTAGTAAAAAATAATAGATTAACAACTAATCTAAGCCAATTAAATCATAGTAGTTTAAGTTTCCCTTTTATCTTGTAAATAAACTTTAATGTTAGCATTAATGTTAATATTAAGTAACGCGTAATACACATGTAAACTTGATAAGTCAGATGCAAGCAATCAATTGTTTAAAGTACTTGATAAGAAATGATGACCAACTTATCTAATTTACATGACGAGCCAAACATTTTGATTACCAATACTATATAAAAAGGGATTTATGACAAGTTTATTCATGAGAAATTTTAATTGCACAAATATTTCTTGTTACAAAATGTCATTTTACATTCACTCTTCTAAATTTATAAAAATTTTAACATCGAGGAAACTATTTAGTAAAAATAATATCAGTTTTATTATAGAAAGTACTCGTCAAATTTATACGAACCCAGTTAATAATATAAAATATAAAAAAGTTTTTGGTCATTGGTGGTGCAAAGGTTGTGGACGTGGGTGGAAAAGTGGATACACATGGGTGGCTTTGGATTTGTTTGACAAAAATGTTAATGCCAAAGATTTTAAGAAAGCAGAAGATCAAATTTATCAAGATTGTTTAAGATGCGATAAAATAAATCCTGCCAAGAGAACCACAAAACTTTTAAGTTACGAAAAATTGACTCCAAGTCCTATAACAAATGATAATAATAAACCACATAAGAGGGAATTATGCGAAAAGTGTAAATCTGGAGCCATATGTAATTGTAAGTAAGATTTGTTATTGGGGGAATTTATTTTCAAATAATATGACTAACATTTTTCAGATTCGAAAGGTTCCGATTTTTGAACTTCTTGTCTAAAAATATTTACATTATTATGGCAAAATACAAATATGTTGCATTATTAGTTTTTTAATGGTGGATGAAGAAAAAGGATTAGTCGATTTACAATTTTTGTCCGTTAAATCTAATAAAAGTCAACCATAATAATAATAAACTAGAATAGCAAATAAAATTTCCAAAGAAAAACTTTAGTGTCTATTTAAAAATGTCACATGATTTTGATCTTAAATAATCGATTCATCATTAGCATCGTGAAAAGTGAAATAAAATGGCAGTTAAATTTTGTTTTAATA